GTAGGCAGAGGTAGGTGGGTGGATATGGAAACAGAGTGGTTAAATAGGGAATCTACAAGTGGGTTCCAGGTATGGCAACTAGTGTAGAACCTTCAGGCGGACTACTTAAATTAGACAATGACTAAAGTTGTATGAGTAGCTAGTTATACACTTTTCACATGGTTGCCTCCTGTGGTTGTAATGCAACCATTAGCCAAATATACTATCAATAAAATCTTGGGTTGCAAGTACTCACCTTAATATTTAAAAAAAAAAAAAAAATTTTTTTGTTATTTACTTACAACAAAGCCTTAAAAAATTTTAATAATACTAATTTTAAATACTATTGTTATATTATTTATATTTCAAACTTAATTGTTACAAATAAATTAAAACTTGTTAATGCTTTTATTATAAAATCAAGATTTTTTACATTTATTATATATAATTTATAACTAATTTTTAAGAATTAAAAATATATTTAAAATAAAAAATAAAAAGTTTCTTATATCTAATTTAGATATTCTAACTTGTTAAAATAGTATCTTTTTAATAATTAAAAAATTAAAAAATTAAAAAAATATAACAGATATTCTTATTATATCAAATAATTTATTAAAATTAAGTTATTTAATTAAATTAAAATAATTAAAAATTAATATATATTTTTTTTTAAGATACAGTTTTTATTTATAATTTATTTTTTTAGTATTAAGATAAGGCTTTGCTTATATTTTTATTAATAATTTTAACTATATACTTTAGTACAAAAATACTAAAATAAACTAAGATAGTATATAACAAAATAAAAATTATATGCAAAAATAAGAACTTAGCCTAATTTAAACTAATTTATTTATAATTATTTATTTATTTTTATATTAAAGTTCTTGTTTTTGAAAAGCAATTTTATTCAAGTTATTATAAATACAAAGCCTTTAGAAGTTTTTTTTATATAAAAAATTACAGCTAGTCATATATATACTTTTAGTATATAAATTTTTTTTTTAAATATTAAGTATTTGAATTTAGAATTTTATTAGTATATTTAGTTTATCACTTTCCAAAAACTCTTTTTGATAATTATCTGAACCAAACCTTCCAAAATGCTGAACTACAGAAAAATAATATAGTTAATATATTAAACTTTATAAAAACTTCTTTAGAGCATTGGGCATGCATAGTGGGCATTAAAATAGAGTTGAAAAAGAAGCTATCACTTTGTGATGACAGTTTAAAGAAGCTCTGGAACCATAAAAGAAGTGGTTAGTAAAAGCCAAAAGTCTCTCATAAAGTAAACAATAGTGTTAAATATATTAGTTCTATACAACTGTAAAACTTACAAGGAACTCCCAGAAGGGTTAAGCATTTACAATGCTATAGTTTGGTTCATCTTATGCCTTCTCTTTTTTTTGAGAAAAATTTTGTAAAAAGTGGGTGATTCAGTTTACTCTCTCCAAAAGATTGACATGTAAAACACCAAAACAGTCAGCAGTATTTACTTCCTAATCAGGATTGTATAAACAATACAGCAATACAACATAACTCATACACATGCCTCGAACTGCTGAAACTCTGTAAAATACTATTCCTAGACTAATCAGTTCTTATGCTGACTCTCTATATTTAAATTGAAGTTTTATCCTACATAGTTTTTGTTAAATATTCTAGTAGATAGAAAAATAGTAGAGTTATTTCTATTTAGTATAGTTTATAATTTTTAAAAGCCTGACACAGGCTTATAATTATGACCATCCGATAGTTATATAGCAAGAGTCACATATATTTTTTTTTGTTTCTTACTTCTCCTCTTTTTCTCTTTTATTTCTTGCATTTGTATTTTTTATCATCTACCCTTATACCTCTGTGTTTTTTTTAAAATAAGTTTTTTTGTTTTTGTTTACTTTTCTACAAGAAGATGTTATCAGATTGGCAATATCCTATTGTAAAGTAGTAGTCAGATGTGGCCCTTGACATCTTTAACTTCTTTTGAAATTAGACAGTTAGTGCAGACAGATCACTTATAGAGACTCATAGAAGCATTCATGGGATGTTGGGCCAAAATTTATAAACTAATTTGTATATATATAATACAAAAATACATAATAAAAGTGACCAGCAAGACTGCTCAAATGAAGAAAAAAAAAAAGTATATTTAGTTTATAGTTGTATTACAATCACAAAAAACAATTATAAAAAGAGTATATAACTAGGCATTTATACAACTTTGTTATTGTTTAATTTAAGTAGTTCATCTAAAGATTCTATACTAGCTTTTATATCTAAACCCTATTTATAAGTTTTTTATTTAAATATTCTAGTTTCTATATCTACTAATATCCTTAGTTGATACTAGTGAAAATATACTATAACTCTTAAGTCTTTAAAGCAGTTTACTCATATAAGAAACTTTTGACTTTGTATTAAATTTTTTAGAATCTTTTGTATTACATTCTTATAGATAACTTAATAATGCTATAACTAAGACTAATACTTGTAGTTAAACTTATTATTAAACTGTTATGCTTTTATAAAATTTATTTCAATTTTAGTAATTACTTTACAATATATCTCTATTACTTTAGTATTCAATTTAAGTTTTATTAAGTTTTAGTTAAAATTTCTAAAAAGATAAATACAACTATATTTCTAGTTTATATATTTGTTAATATATAAATTTTTTTTGAAAAGTTTTGACAGTTTGACTAATTACATTGTTTTTTTTAAAAAACTAATATTTTATCTAGTTTCACAAGTTCTAATATCATTTTCTAGATCTAGTTTTTATAATAGCATTATCAAAATTTTAGATTATTTTTCTATTTAGATCTTCTAAATAAACTTTCATCTTTCTAGTTTTTGTAGTTTATATGTTTACAAAAACTTATTATAGATTCACACTGCCTAGTAATGATTTGTATTTCTTTATACAAGGTACAACTATTGTATAAATACTATATAAACTTTTAGTTATACTAGTATAACATAAGTAACAGGTATTTTATTTTAATCAATAATAAAAAACAGTTAACTATAACACAAAAAGAATTTCAAATTTTCATTAACATTCAAATTTAAACTCTAGACCTGCCACTTAAAAAGTGACAACATGACAACTTCACAGAATTTATATTAGTTTGTATTGTTGTTATTAGTTATATTATTATTTTTATTAGTTGGCATTGTTGTAATAATTTGTTATTTGCATTTGTAATTGTTTTCTTGTATACTATTCAACTTATTTAAATTCTATTTATTATATTTTAAATTTTTTTATTTTGGATGTTTTTTAATAATTGTTAAAAAAAATTCTAATAAATTTTGAAATACATATAAACTTTAAACTAAAATAACTTTATAAATTATTAAAATAAAAAATTATTTTAACAAAATTGTAATTTTATTAAATTGTAACAAATTTGTTAAAAACAATTTTTAATTATATTATAAATTTTTGAGTTATAATATTTTTTTAAGAAATTTTATAAATTGTTAACTTGCTTCTTGAATTTTTTTGTTCAAATTGATTGTTATAGGCAGAAGTTTGTCTAATTGACTAATAAATTCAATTTAATTTTACATTATTTATACAATTTAGAGTACTTTTAAAAAAAACAAAACCGAATTATTATGAAATAAAAAAAGCTGTATAGAAGGATATAGAACTTCATAACCAAAAATAAGATCTAATTCTTGTCCGTTTAAAAAAGTTAGTATAGTAATAACTTCTCAAAACAGACGATAATTAGATCTTATTTTTTTTAACTTTCTATAAGTGCATTTCTTTGAAACCAGACTTTTGGCAGTATGCACTTAAAGAGAAATGGCATTTATAAAGACCATATACTTCATATGACTATGAATTTCTACAGCTCTAATGAAACCTTCTATATCGTTTATTTTTTTAAAAAAAAAAAGTACTCGAAACTGTATAAATAATGTAAAATTAAAAATTAAACAGCCAATCAGACCAACTTATGCCTATCACACTTATGTCGATGTTTTATTATTTAATCGACTATGCCGGCTAAGCAAAAAATTAAAATCTGACCGGCTTTCTGACCGGTCATGACCTGACTGAAGCCTACTTCTAACCCTAACGCTAATAACAAAGTGGGCCTTTTTTTTATGATGAACCCTTGTGAATCAAAAAGGATGAAGTTGCAAAAATAGTTAAAAAAATATTTTCACCAATTTCGCCATACAAAAATAATTTCGTCATCCAAAAATATATTTGTCATTCGAAAATAACGTTTTAGACAGTCAAAACTAATTTCGACTGTCTAGAATTACACCAAGAGAAAAATAATTTAGACACCCATGTATACACCCGCTATCGCTGGGGAGTGCTGTACAGAATGTTGCCCGGTCGCAGCAGCAGAAGCAGCACAAGCTGCCATAACTATTCGAGACTCAGAGTCTACTCATACTGCTAATGAAGCCGGACATTCATCATTTAATTTCCCTGACGAAACTATATCATACGAATGTTGTTTTAGAAATCCAAATTATGATGCTTCTTCACTAATTCCGATTGGATCTACAATTGTTCGACAACCTTCTGATTCTCGTCAGTTGTCTTCGCCGCAACGACATAAGGTAACGAATAAAACATGTTTACCCGGAGATCATAATGAAATTATTGAGACACCAAATTTTCTTCGTCTATCAACATTACAACCAACCGTTATTACGAGTGATCGGGCGGTTTGTACCGTTGATGAGATTTTAATCTTTTATTTGAAATGAATATCTAATATAATTTAAATATTTTTAAATTTTAGATTTCAGAAATACCGAATAGAGGTGTTGAGACTATTAATAATCGGAATTCCTTGATAATTTCGCAAGATATGACACAACGAAAAGTTATGAATTCAATAAATGAAGCTATCATGAATAATACGTTAATTCAAACAAACAATAATAATTTGCTGGCAAACATAAATTCAGAAAGTGATAATATATCTGCTTCTACAACGTCCACTAATTTTATGACGACATCTACTTCTACTTCTGGCATTAAACGAAAACAAGATATGATTTTTGATGGTGCAAGGTGTCTTTGGGAAACATGTGCAGCCGTGTTTAGGTCCATTGATGAGTTAATACCACATCTTTCAAAGTTACATATTGCAAGACGTTCAAATGGAATTTCATGTCGCTGGGCATCTTGTTCAAAAGAACAAGAAAATGACGATGAATTATTCCAACATCTATGCCATGATCATTTGGCAGCACGGGATCTTCAACATGGATGTAAATGGCAAGGATGTTATCTAAGATTTGAAACATTTGAAGAGTTAACTGGGCATGTTAGTGAAGGACATATTGGATGTGGTAGAAGTCAGTATGTTTGTTATTGGGAAAGATGTGATCGGAACGGGCGTCCATTCTCGCAACGTCAAAAGGTTATGCGACATATTCAGACACATACTGGTAAACGTTGTATGATATTTTACGATATAATCAAAGTTCTAGAATTTCATAGTTGATTTATATATATATATCTATATATATATAGGTGATAAGCCGTACCAGTGTACAATCTGTAAAAAGCGATTCTCGGAAGCTAATATAATGACTCAACATATGAGAACACATACAGGAGAGCGTCCTTTTAAATGTCCACAACCCGATTGTGATCGTGAGTTTTCTATATCTGGTGCACTAACCATACATCTTCGAGTTCATACTGGTTTGTAATCAATGCAGTGTTTTTAAGAAAATATATTTTTTCATCATTATAATAAGATACATTTTATTTATCTATTAATTTATTTATTAATTTTTTTAATTACAGGTGAAAAGCCATTCAAGTGCAAACATGAAGGATGTGCGAAACGGTTTGCTGAATCATCAAATCTTACAAAACATGTAATGTTCTTCACTATTATCATTATCGTTATTATTATAATAGTCGTCTTCCGTTATAGGCTAAACTCACAATTGTATATAATCACATTAATCTCTTACTTTATTATATATATAATGTCTCTGTTGTTGGTCATCATTATTAAATTATGCAATAAGCGTAAAATTTGAGACTTGGCCATGTGACTATTGCGGAGACGACTGTATTATGGATATCATTATTACGTTATTAATCCAATAATTAAATTAATTCTGTGATTAGATGCGAGTACATACTGGTGAACGTCCATTCCAATGCCCTGTGGTAACATGCAAAAAAAAATTTTCACGATCTGATCAAGTAACTAGGCACCGGAAAACACATTCTAGGCAAGATAAACTAGATGAGTAGACAAACATTTTTACTCATATAGTGATAACTAAATCATCACATCATACAATAATATAATCAATATAATTAGACATAAACAATGTATAAAAGGGCATAACCAGTTTTTTCGGGAATTTTATTTCAAGACTTTGTATATAGTTATGGATAAGTGACATATTATTTAGTAGATTAAAAAGTTAATTATATTATATAACAATTTAAGCCACTCAGACTACGCATAAGATTTAAAAAGGTTTATGTTCTTATCAATGATTTCTGTGTAGACTGTTATTATTCATTTACTCTTCATCAAAATTGATGAAGCGAAATTTTTTTATGTATCAAACTAAAATACGTCATAAAGTGTGATATATTACTTAAAAATTACGAAACAAAAATTGTATCTTTAAAAGACTGTTTGAATGAAGTAGTCTGATATACTCATGTATTATTCCCATAAATTACACTTATAAAAACGATCATATATTTAATTCACTGAGACTTTTTATACCAATTATAGATGTTGCTTTTATTAAAAGAGTAGAAATAGTCCATGAAGAAGCGATGGCTCTTAAAGATTCGCTTTTAAATACTATAAGTGTTAATGAAAATATTATTTCTGATATGAAAATGGAAGAAGTAGAACTTGCTAATCGAAATGTATCAACAGATATAGTCACAACAATGAATGAAAAATCTGTTATGCCCACACTTTTACACACGCATCCAATATCTTTTGACCACAATGATCAATACCTTGTGTTGAACAGAAGATATGGTGTTCTTAATCGTGTGAAATCGATTGATGAATGCCAAATGGATCTCAGTGATAATGAATTTTATGATGATAAGATAATTATAAATAGAAGAAAAGAAATAACAGAGACAAATAATACAGACTATACTCTAAGAACAAAAGGTTGGATACCAAAAAGAAATGGTATCATTCAGCGCATGACGAGCTTTGATTCCGATCAAACGAGAATTGGCAGTACGACAGGTGAATGAAAATTTAATTATCATTGATTTTTTTTTTTTTTTTTTTTTAAAGATAATGATTAAAAAATTTAAAGGTTTCGAGGATCACGAGATAATTGATTCTGAAATATCTGACGAAGAACAGTTACCATCGAAAACGTTTGGTTATTTTTCATTATATAAACCACATGAAACTCGTACTAATTATAAAGTAGATGATGAATTTATTATGATTTTGTCCGAAGAAAATAAAGTAGTTAAAAATACATCAGAGACAGATAGTGTTGAATATGATACAGATGAGGAAGAGGTCATACTAGTTGATTCAGAACAGGTATTTTCATAAAGTCACTTTATAGTTTAATGTATTGTGTGATTATTATCTTTTACGTAATAAAATAAATTCGAAATTTAAGGAACTTTTGGACAAGCAATTCGTCAGAAAAAAGAGAACTTCAACCATTTCAGAGTCCAAAACGCAAGAATTACCATATCGATATAATCAGGTTAATTCCCCTGAATTTCCTACAAAGGAAACTGTTTCATCTTGCGCATCTTCACCTCCGTCCCCGACGTTTCTGCCTTCACATATTTCACTAAATATTTCACTTCATGTTCCTAATACTAAATTAACTTCAAATAATCCTGATACAAAAATGTCGCCTTGGACTTCAGATGAAGATAAATTACTTATCGATGCAGTATTAGAATCATTGGCCCCTTCATGGGTTCAAATATCTAAAAATATTATGATGCAACGCTCTGAAGACGCGTGCAGATTACGCTGGGCACGTTTAAAACAAAGGTTATATGGAAGTGCTTGAGACAACTCTTCTTTTTTGTTACAAAAAAAAAAAAACCATATATATATATATATATATAGATTTACATTACAAAAGTGAATATGCATGTACAAGTGTGATTAATAATATTACTTTTTTTTTACGGCTATGATGATATAAAAACATTTTATATAACGTATTTTCAATGATTGAACTGGAATAATTTGAACTTTGGTCTTTTTTTTTATTTTTATTTTTTGCTTTTTCAATGAAATTCATAGTACAGAATTAGTAATGCAATAAATAATATTTGCTTGAACTATTTATCTATTGCGGTTCCATTATTAACTACATTATTGGTGGATACCCGCTGTATTGTTAGTGGTCGAAGCACCTCTTCCACGCGATTCATTGATCACAGCTATTAAAGTAGAAATAATAGCTTAAAAACCATCATTGAACCAAACAAAAAAAGTGCTATGAAAAAAAAGGATTTACCTCTATGATCCTTTAAAGTTGGCCTCTCATGAGCTTTATGAGCATGGTGAACTGTACCATTTTGAAGAATTTGTTGTATAATTTCCATATCATTGGTAGTCCCAAATGTATTTTCAAGTTTTTGATTTGATGGATGTCCAGCGATGCCTTCTTTACCACCATTGTAGACTTCGAAAACTTCAAAACCTAAATATATATATATATATAAATTTCCATTATTATACACAGCCTAATACTCAATGGTTAAGATAGAACTCAAATAATAATTTATCTATAACATTACACTGAACGACGTCAACTAATGGAATTGTTTTATCCTTCCGCCATTTCAGGACCTACATGTGGAAAAATATCAAGTTCGAACGTATTCTATTGACAAAAAACTAAAACTTTTCTTTTGGATTACCATATCAGGATCTGCAAATATAAAAAATTCCTCCCGACCACCATCTGTAGATTTGAAAGTCACTCGTGAGTCGTCTTGCGAGATTGCCATTATTTATTTTACTTTTTTTTCGAAGAGAAAAAAGAAAACCAGTGTTTATTTTTTTCGAAAAGAAAAGACAGTTGCAACATATTTTATATACATATATATGAAAACCAGTGACGACATATTTAGCAAATTTCCTGACTAATTGTGATTAGTTTTCTTTAATCATTTCTGAAAATAAGTCGGGCTTTTTTTTTTTACATTAACATTTTAAAAATAAACAGCACAGCTAATCCGGATTTGTTTACACAACATATGCCTGATTTTTGTGAATTTTACATTTTTTAAATCTTGAACTACCAGTCCATTTTAAATGAAACAACCACCAAAATGTTCGTCTTAATGAGACGAACATTTTGGTAGTTATTCTATCCAAAACGGACCACTAGATCAAAAAATTATTCAAGATTAAAAAAAAAAAAGCGTAAAATTCCAAAAATCAGTCATGGAAACCTATAGACTAATGATTGATAATTAGTAAATTACATAATGTTGACGTAACTACATAGGATACTGATATTGCACTACATCGCGTGATTATACATGAGGAACAGAAAGTGAAAACCTGTAAATCATTGCTTTTTGAATATTTACTTTTAAAATATATATAAAAAAATTCTAAATTGAATGCCTAGGATTCGAATCATCTATTACGTACTGTATTAAGACGATTCAAATGGAAATATTATTCACAGATTTCCCTCATATGACATATTAGGTAATGCTGATTTGCATAAGATTTTCAGTTTCTTATGCTAAACATTTATTATAGAATTGTAATTGTACGTACGTACTTATTAATATCATATGTTGATAAACAATTATTAAATATATATTAATATATTGACTACATAGCATATATAAATTAAGCACGTGAACGAATAAAATACAAAAATCAATGTTAATTAAATTATCATTAAAAATGCCAGTAAAGTTTTTACTACAAATTCAGTTAATTAAATCATTAAGAAAGCTGCAACAATACTCGATATCAAAATATTAAAGCCAGTATAAACCAAAGGTGTTGCAGCGTTATTAGTTTGGTTTAAACTGTCTAAAACAAAAATTGTTCCGGTCATGTTATAATATTTACAATGTGTAAGAGTACTGCAGAAGAACCAAATTTGGCCTTTAGGCAAATCAACAGTGTAGTTATACCATTCAGGATTTGGACCTGAGTCGACTAGAAAAATACAAATGTTCTCTTTAATTGAATTAATAATAATTAAAGATTCTTAAAAAATCCATTATACGTACAGCCATTTGTTATTTGGTTACAACTGCCAAAAGAGTCCGATTGAACAACGTCATGATGTCCCCCAACGAAATGAAATGCGATCTAGAATATTAGATTTTAGTTCACTATGATTATGATTAATTGTTCATTCGTTCAATATATATTTGATATTTACCACGTCGCCTTTAGTAGCATTGACGGCATTAGGAACAAATTGATTTTTGTTGTCTTCTCCAACATTAATCACAATAGTTGTCGCAATAACAGTTGTCAAAAGACTGGCAAGAATTGTAAATAAAACAGCGGCGCGGGACATTATTAAAGTAGATTTTATATATTCGAGTTCAATACGTATGTTTTAGTTGAATTAAGAGATGAGGATTATAAAAATTCATATATATACATATTAAATATAAGATTTACCTTATTAAATACTAAAAAAGTCATACATTTATCTGTAGATTTTAACTTTGAATAAATTACTATTTATAACTTTTATACAAAATTTATAATGAGTTATATGAATAATTCTTTAAGGCTTGTTAGAATAAAATTTGTAACCCACCAATCTTTTTTATCATATGATGCAAATGATCGAAACTTGCTGTTTTTTACTTTAAAAAATTTATCAAGCAAATCTGTTGTGTATATACTTCTAATAAATGTTGTATAAATAGCTTTCTGATTTTAAATAGCAATTTTAATAGTAAAAATTGCCGAGAGTTAATATAGTTTTTATATAGGGTTGAATGCAATTAGTTTACAATAAAAATTTTTTTATACCAAGTACATCTCTTTTAACTTCATGTTTGCATGTAAATAATGTGGTGCTGGTATAATTATTAATACACAATTAAGAAATTTCTTGGTGTTTTCCGAGACCAGAAATTTCAGTCATGCAAATTCATCAAATCGGACATGAGCTCATGTCTCATTCAGAAATAACTTTATTAATCGTAAATATTTATTAATAAAGATAATATTTAACATGCATTAGCATAATCAAAATACATTAAAACCTATCAAGACATTTCATGCACGTAAAAAAATTAATGTAGCATCCCTTCGAAAATACATACATATTTTAATGTATATTTTTAATTTGTCTAATTATTATGTCTCGGCCTCTTTGATTTTTAGGTCCTGTAAATATGATATTGCCAAATTAGTCATATAAACAGGCATCTGAAAAGTAATATCTGGCGTACTCACCATGTCAAATTGGAAATTTGCTAGAGTCACGAATTTTTTAATTTTCACATATTCATCTTTTTGAGTCATTAAACTTTTCCAAATATTAATCAATGTCTCATCTTTAGCTATAGCTAATCGTACAATTTTCCCTACTTGCTCTTCATTCTTTTCCAATTTACTGATTACATTTAAGGTAAAGTCAGTCAACTCTCTGTACTCTATATTTTTCAAGTCTCTCTTCTTCACATTACACTTATTATCATCTTCCTCGTGCCTTCTCTTTCTTGTTGAGATCCATCGCTTTATAAGTTCAGATTCCAGTTTTTGCTTAATTTCTCTTAATGGTTTGAGTGCATCTTGGTCCTCTATTATCAATAAAATCCTGCATAAAAAAATAATTGCTTTTATAAATTTCGTAAAAATGATCATTAAAACTTACTGAGATATACAATTACTTCTAGTGCTAATGTTGAAAGTCTTTGTAGTTTCTCATCACTTCACCTTCCTTTTAGGTTTGTTATTCCATGTGCATTATGATGTCTAGCTTCGACCTTAAAGGAATTAAATATAAATGATGGATTAATATTGTTTGATCCATGGAATAATGTCTGATATTGACCAAACATAAATAAATTGATATTTTACGTTATAAAGTTAAGAAGACATAAAAGATCCGTATCTGAAAAATCATCTTTTTTCGGTGGGTTGCATTTTGATACAAAGTTTCTCACAGTTTCATAGGGAATATATTTTTCTTGTTTAATAATAAATCGAAAAAGTGATAACTCCATATGTTCAAGAATCGGTTCAATATATGCACCTTGCTCTGAAGACAAAAATGAGAACTGCTGTAAGAACAATATTATATTTTCTTGACCTTTCGTTTCATTTTTTTGATTACTTTGATCTCCCTTTTCTTCATCATCACCCTTCTCTTCTTCATCATCATCATCTTCCTTTTTATCAACATCATCATCTTTCTTTTCATCATCATCATCATCATCACCCTTTTTATCATCATCATCATCATCATCATCACTTTCCTTTTCATTTGCTTGGTTTTCTTTCGTATCTTTCTGGTCTTCCATATTTTGATCTAGATCTTGTAACTCTTTCTTGAGTCTGTGGTCTGTCAGGCTTCCTATTGCGTGTTGCATTATACTGGAGAAAAATCGTGCTCTCTGGAAAGCTGCGTGATGCTTCTTATCTATAATTTTAAGTTCCTTCTTGTTTGAGGCAGCTTCTTTAACCCACATGTATAAGGTCCTATATTTTGTCATATTTTCTTCACTATTCTTGAAGAATGCATGAATAGATGATTTTAATGCTTCTTTTTGTTCAATCATGCTGGTATTTTTCCTGAAAGGGGGGCTTAATTTCAATAAGACATCAAGTGTTGAATCGAGATTGTTCTTAATATTATTGTAAAGATGATCCTTCAGCCAAATCGAAAGTCTAGTCATTATCTTCTATGTTCTTGTGAATTTATATGTAAGACTGATTGTTATTTGTAGCAAAGCGGAGGGTGTATATTTTTACGTGATGTGATGATCTTGCTTAATTTTTCAGAAATTCTACGGACAAAGCTTAGGGACAGAACTGGACAGAGCAACTCATGTGACATTATTAAAATTCTTCTCACTGACCAAAATTATACAATATGATAGGAAATAATTAAATAGAGGATGTGATTTTTAAACCTTCTTTGAAAAGATTATTTATTTATTAAAGTCTAAAAAAATTAACTAAAATTCATTTAAGCTGAAAAGCTACATTCAACATCTACTCCTAAAACTAGTAACTAAATATATACTAATGCAATTTATCATAAGGCTTATTAAAAGGGTAATTGCACATTGAACAAGAGTTTTTTAATGTTAATGCAGAGTTTTTTTGATTCATAGATAGAATATGTTAAATGTTCATCTATTACAGAATGATTTTTATAACCTATAGTAGATTGACAAAACTGACAAAAAAGTTTCCTTTGTGCATAAAGTTATCTTTATATAAGAGATTGTTATGTCATTCTATGGTTGTAACTATATTACTCTATATTTTCTTAATTAAAAGTACAGTTTTTTTTTATTAACAAAGAAAAATTAAAAAAACATTTATAACAGTTTTATAAAAAAAAACTTTATATAAAATCTTGAAAAATCTTTTGATTGATCTTATTGTTCTCATTGATATTTAAAAATCATATCTACCAATTATGTTCTTTTTAATGGAAAAGTCTCTAAACTAGAAATGTGCCTCTTGTGTAAAATGCTGATGTCATAATAAATTATTTATACTATCTCGCATGAGAATCAATTGAATGACATCAGCATTTTGCACGAGAGGCATATTTCTACTCTGAATACTTAATAGTTTACATGATTTTGCACTTAGATTAGCTTTGATTGGTTGGTTTATATTTGGTAAGATCTTCCACAGTCACGAAAGGACTGAAAATTCTTTAAAGTTCTTTTAGGTTAGGGTTAGGGTCTATGTTAAAATTAAGGTTAGAGAAGATTTAAAAGTAAAATGCTTGAAGAAATTTTTTTGCTAGTGTACTAAATGTGGTTTCCTATGTAAATTTTCGAGTTATAGGTGATTTTTAACAAAGCGAACATTTATTTTAAATTTTCTGATTATATAACGTTTCACTTGATTTTGAAATCGGATTTGTTTGCACCACAAAATATCACGTGACCATAACATTTTGGTGGAAGATGTGTTCATAGACTTTCTGACATTACTGTAAAACACAGTGCAAGATACTCCTCTTGATTTAAATCCTTCTTGATTTAGATCGGATATGATTCAAGATCATTAAACATGGTATTTTGTAAGAGACCCGGATATGAATCAACAACATAATTGTGAATTCTGATTGGCTAAAAGCTATTATATAAATTTTTTTTTTTATTACTATGTCAATATTACAGTATTAGTACTACCACTATTATTGTATTCAAAGCTTGAAATTTTATTTATTTATTTATTTATTTTTTTTTTTAAAAAAGTAAGATCTTGCCTCGATTTCTTTATTGATTATTAATATTTAAATACATTTTTATTTGTAGTACATATTATTTAATCTCTGAAAACTAAGGCTTAGACTACTTTACCTATGACCTAGACTTTGCTAAAGAGGGTCAAAGTTCCCACTTAGTCTACGATTGTATTGATATGATTTGGTGATGTATTGTGATTTATAAATATTTTTTCTCATATTTTAAGTTTTCAACTCAGTTAGTTTTGTGTTATGAGTATCTGCTATTGCTGTTGAGACTGTCAGTGTGTCTGTTTTATCATTTGTTGTCTGTAAAATATTTTGATTTGATAGGTTATTATATTGTTCCTTGCATCATGTTAACCACATTTCTTTACATATTTTTTGTGCAATTTTGTGCATTAGGTAGATTAATAGACTGTGTTTTGATCTTGATACTTTTGCTATTTTGTTAATTAGTCTTGTACTATTTTGGGAAAGCATTCCCAGTATGACTCTTGTTAGTTGTGTTTGTAAATCAGTTAGACAGATATTCTAAGTTATTAGAGTTATGACTTTATGTCTAGTTTGGGTGTCTGTGACTTCGTATTTGGTTAGAGTTTTGCTAACTGTTTCTGTTATTATTTTTCATAAGCTCGTGCTATTGCTATGCAGGTTATCAAGTGATAGTTGCTTTCTGTTATTGCTTAGCATCTTACACATGTTGGATTCAAGTACTTTTTGTTGTTGCATTTATATAGTACTTCTAGTGTTGGCAGCTCTTCTAATAGTAATTTTAGTTTAAATGCTT